TTAGGAGGGGCTGGCCCAGATTCTAGTCCCTCTGGTTAGGAGGGGCTGGCCCAGATTCTGCCCCACTCCTCAGCCTGTGCAGGCCCTTACCCAGCTGTGGGAACAGAGCGCCTGTCCCCCGTGTGACTTCAGCTCCAGTCTCCTCATCTGAGTCCTGCTTCCCCTCCCCTAACTGTTCCATACATGCCACCAAAGCACACGGGGAAGTCGCTTGTCAGGGTCAGGACTGGGGCACACTGGAAAGATGTCCATGAAGACAGCACCTGGCACATACCTGCTGAGCCACACAGCCTGCCACTTCCAGTTACGAGGAAACCCTTTGGAAGACTAAGGCTCAGAGGGACAAGGGTCCTCTAAGGTCACAGTGCAGGACATGACTGGCCACAACCACCAGAGTCCTCGAACCCCCTGCCTTCCACCATTCCAAGTTCACAGAGCAGCCCTCTACACAGTCCGGGGCTCTGAGTTTATGTGAGACTGGAAGGGACTCCTCCTCTCTGGCCCAAGTTTATTTGAGGGCTAGGGCTACACCCGTGTGTTCTCAGCATCTCTCCAGCTCCTGGAGTGTCTTCCCTTTAGGCCTAGGGAAGCCGAGATGGATACAGCTGTGTGCACAGGGGGCCGAGGGCCGGAGCAGACCCCAGCCAGGCCTCCTCTCTCCCCGCCAAGGCCACGTTGTCTTCCAAGGCTGGAGAGCGTGCAAACACATCAGGAGTGCAGCCTTGGACCCCTCCCTGCCCGCTGGGAGAAGGACACAGCAAAGAGGCAAGAAGGGAGGGTGTCCCCCACATCCAGCCCACGTGCTGCCAGGCACAAGGGCACACTGAGGGAGGTGCCCACTCCCGGACACCCTGGCGACTGACCGTGGGCTCCCTCCCCCGCTGACCTTCAGAGAGATCCGCTCTTGCACATGCCCCCTGCACATCCCGGGCCCACTCGCTGGTGCTACAGTAACTTTTGGATGAAGGACTTTGGCTGGCAGAACAAAGGCTTCGTGCCTGTGCCAGGGGGCTGGGGCACCTCTCTCAGTAGCAGGGCAGCTTGGCTGTGCTACCCTCCTTCTCCTTCAATGCAGGTTGCAGCTTCTGTCCTGAGCTGAGCCTGTGCAGCCAGAGGCTGTGCATTCATCCGGAGGCCTCCTAGAGCCAGGTGCGGCCTCCCCAGAAGCTGGCAACTCTAGGCCCTCCTGGCTCTGCCCTCCTACTGAAGCACCTCCTGGCTTCTCCATCTCAACACCAACCCTGGGGAGCATGGGGTTTCTGAGAGGAGTGCTGTGACCCTGAACCTGACCACCACCCCAATTCCAGATTGGGCCCAGAGGCCAGGCAGGCCTTGGCCCCACAGCCCCCATCATTGAGGGGCAGTGGGTGGGCAGGTAGGGCTTTTGGATCCCTCTCTGCAAAACTTGTTCACCCTCCTCAACTTTGAGCTCAGAAGGTTGGCAGGCCGGGCTCTGGGTAGAAGGATGAAGACCACTCTATCCAGGGGCTCTGAGGCTAAGGGTAGCCCCTGATTGCTCCTCAAGTTCCCTCAGGATCACTGTCTGGCCTGACCTGAAGCACCCAGCCTCTTGACATGAAGGAGCCTGGCCCAATCTCCAAAGGAAAAGGGAAAATCCCAATCCTGTGTGTGTGTGTTGGGGGGGAGGGGGCTGAGCTTCCAGAACTAACCTCACTCCTCCATGGATTTGAAAGCACTCTCAGCCCCACTTTTCCATCCACACTGCAATACTTCAATCTCTACACACAAAGAAAGATGGGGTCCCCACCCCCACTATACCAGAGATACCCAGACACTGGGTGGGGGAGTAAAAATAGGAAGGCGGGGGTCTGAGGCCCTGGCTATGGGGACACAGGCCTGGCTTCTGTTAGAGTGAGCAAGATTTCCTAGACCCTCTGCCCAGCAGACCCACCCCTACTGGCCCTAGACCACCAGGGCAGCCAGGGCATACACCTGGAGTGCAGCAATGGCAGTGAGGAGCCCCCTCTCAGCACATCTGGGCAGACCTCCCAGAGAAGGCGTGGGCCACCAGCCCCAGTGGAAACAGTGACGCTCCGAGTTCCCTGCCAGCTGGGCCCCAGCACACCTGGGCCCTGCTTCCTGCACCTACATCCTACCCAGGCAGGCCTTGGCCCCACAGCCCCCTCCCCATTGGGTCCCTGGCTGCAGTGTGGGCAGTATGAGTGGCACTCAGAAGCCCACCCAGTCATGGCGGGGGCCCCCACACTGGGTCCCAAAGACCAGCCATTTTCTCCAGGACCAAATGGGTATTTAGAAATAGTGCCCCTTAGGAGCCAGCCTGTGGCATGGTGGTTAAGGCAGCTGGATCCCACATGGCCAACTATACAGTTGGAGTCCTGGGCCCAAGGCCTTGAAAAACCTACCAGGTGTGTTTCCACAAGTGCCCAAAATCCCGGAAGGAAGGAGAGATAGAGGAAAAGGGATTGTGGCAGGACCATTCCTATGACGAGTGGAGGTGCTTTCTCCCTGTCCCTCTTTCCATCTGTATGTGTGTGTATATGTGTGTATGTGTGTCTGTCTGTCTGTCTGTCTTTCTGGCAAGTGCACATGCCCTCTGGCAAACATACACACATGTACTCACACAACAAAACTATAATGCCCCTGAGTATTCTCATCTTATCCCTCCAGCCAGACTGCTACTGGAAAGCAAGGACTACACTCCCTTCTCCATGTAGCTCAGTAAACATGCGTTAAAGAATTAGCAATTAGGGAGATTTGGGGGCAGGGTCTTTGGTCCAGCTGTCTACCCATTTACCACAGGCCCCACAAACATGCCACACAACACTCTCTCAACTAGCACACAGGGAGGAGGCCCCTGCAGCTGAGGCCTGCCAGGATGCACTGGCTCTGGGGATTCCAGGAGCTGGTGGGCCAGGTACTCTGAAAGGGAGACCATGGATACATCATTCTGAGTCCACGACTTCTTCTCCCATCCCTGCCCTATCCCATTCCTCCTTCTTCCTTTCCTGTGGATTCTTCCATCATGCTGTTCTGTGCTGCCTCTTCCCTCCCTCTCCCCCCCACCACACAGGAATGAGGTTGGCTGACCCCTTGGGGCTTTCCAGGCAGGATATCCCACCTGACACCTGGAGGCCTAAAGCTAGAGTCAGGCAGAGGGTGGGTGGACCCCCACGGCCACAACCTCACCAGAGCCCCCTGCACCTCCCAGGGTCTCTTACTTGTGTGCTGGCCAAGATTTCTTCCTCACCTAAGCAGCTCCCCTGCCCGCCCCCAGCATGCCACCAGTTTCTGGCAGCCCCACATGGACAGGACTGAGCAGGACTCTACTTGGTGGCCAGAAACAACTACCAGAAGACCTGTGCTGCAGGCTTTGCCTTGCCTTTTCTTTGCTTCCTAACCTGGTTGAGTCTCACACAACCTCTGGAGGCTTCAGTGTACTCTTCTGTGAAAAGGGACAATGCCTTTCTTGCAAAAGACAAAATAAGAATTCAGTTCTCTCCTTATCCTTTCTAATGGGTCTTTGGTGAAATCACAAAAACTAAGGGAAAAATAACTGTCTGACACCTGTGGAAAGCCCTCATTCTTAAGCCTACTCCCCCCTCCCAGCCACTCTCCAGGAACACCTTCTCCAACTTGTCCCCAAGCTGTGTTAACTGCTCCCAACTCAGTGAGGCAGTTGGAAGAGATGACTTTTAGAGGGGTGAAATACATGTTTGCATTTTGTCTTGTGTGCATTTTTGCTTTTTGTATGCTCTAGGGCATGTGTACTCCCCAGAGAGAAAGTGGGAAATCTGACATGGCCATGTCAGAATTCCTTCTCCTCCATTCTCCTCTTGTGATTTCGGGCACTTGGGCGCACATTGCAAGTGTGTTTTTCAAGTCCTGTGGGATCCAGCCACCTTTACCACAGCCACTGGATGGCCCAGTACGGGCTTTCTTAGGAGAACCTGGAGAGAGGATGTGCAGATCAGTCTCCTTCGTCTGTTTTTTTTATTTTTTTTTTCCCTCAGTCTGCCTTGGAGAATTACAGGAGAACCTCAAATACTATCAGAAGCATGGGTGAGTAATTCAGTTCCACACATTCACCAAGACCACCGCAGACACAGACTTCCTGCAGAAGGGGCAGGGCCCCGCGGTCCCCCTTCTCTCTCCCCAGTGAGATGAGAAACTGCCTCTCCCTTTCCTTTAGGTTTCCAACCTGGGTGAGTCCTCTGACCCAATGGAAAAAAATGGAGTGGGGGAGGTCTCGCAGCCTCCATTCTGCCGGCTTCAAGCCCGAAGGCCGGCGCCCCGCCCGCCGGCTCAGCTTTCGGGTTACTGCAGTTCAAACAGCACGTGCCGCCTGCGCTCCCCGCCCGGCGGCCGCCCGGCCCAGAGGGGGCGGGGAAACTTGCTCCGTGCGCGCTGGCTCGCCTCCTCCGCGCCTCTTCCAGTCGCTCGGGAAATCCACAGGATAAACACCCACGTTCTCTTCCTCTTTATGGAGGGTGGGTGAGCTTTGATCCCCTGCCCGCACCTCCGACGCGCTCCTACCCCGTGCCCTTCCCCCACTTCCAGGCCAGCGTGCACCGAGGCTCAAGTCTCGCACTTCTCCCAGGGAAGACCCCCAAACAGCTGCCCACAGGTGTCACTAGTCCCTCGTTTCCGTCGCCCTTAAAACAAGCTAGGATGATCAGTCTCTAGTCTTGGGAATTCCCGGTAAAAACGGGGCACCAGCCAACTGTCCCACCCTCTTCTTTTTCCAGAGCCTAGCGAGAACGAGAGTTGGACACCTAGACCCGTAGGCTCAAGCCGCCCTTTGGGTGTCGTCAGCCTACAGCTCAGCCAGCTAGGGTGCAGCAGTAGGGTGCACCAGGAGGAGGCCTTTGCAGGCCCTGGGTGCTGGCTGGAAGCCTACTAGACAGGGAACTGCGGGGTCCTGGATCACCGTGCACACAGGTGCCAGTAGGGTGCCCGGGGTTTCACGAACTCTTTACCCCAGAAGAGGCGCGGAGGAAGGTGAGGGTCAGAGCTCTTACCTTGCGCTTGTTACGGTGGATGTCGCCAATAGAGTTGGCCACAGTGTTGGGGCCAAGCAGCATGCGCGTGCTTCGGGGCCACTCGGTGCTCACGAGGTGGTGCTCGCCCATAAGGATCTTGCGCACATTTTCCGCGCCGGTCACGCGGATCAGAGGCCGCCCCAGCAAGTGCGTCTTGAACACGTTGCCATACTTCTCCCTCCGAGACGACTGGAAGCCAGAACCCTGCGGGAGCCACACAAGAAACCTCTCAGGTACTTCTCACGTACTTTTCTGGAGGGCCCGCGGGGGAGGAGAGGTGGACCTGATGCCACCTGGGCACCAGTCACCTGCCCCCGACTCATAAACACACACACACACACATACACACACACACGCAGGTTTTATTTTTCATAGCATGCATAAGAACTGGAAGTAGGACCTTGAGAATAATAAATAATGCAAGGAGGCGGGAGGCCTAGGGACACCCCCCAAAGGCTGTTTTTTATAATTACCTTCGGGAGGGGGGAGGGGAAGGTATCCTGAACCTCTGGACCCAAGCCTCCGCCCCTACCTCCGCACATCCCCCTGCCTCCGCCCCCGTTCTCGGGAGTCTCTCGGAATAAATATTTCCAGGCTCAGGGCCACCGGCTGGGGAGGCCCTGCGGGGTGGCCGCAGGCCAAAGATTATTTATAGCGGAGAGCGGTTGGTGCCCAGAGGCAGTCACTACAGAAGGGGGCTGGATTTTCACCATTCTCCGGTGTGGCCGCGCAGGGACCCAGCAGCCCTCCCGAGGGCTTTGCAGGATGCGGTCACGGGCCAAAAGTCGCAATTTCCCTTATGTATCTTGCCCTGGAAACAACTGAGACGGACATTCGTCGCCGCCCTGGAGTTTGGAACGAGAGCGCGGCGGAAGGCGCTAGCCGCGGGGGTTGGCGGGGACGGGCGGGGCGACCTCGCGCAGGTAACTGGATCCCGGGCGGCCGCCGCGCAAAGCGAGAATGGCGGGGCCCCGGCCCGGGACAGACGCTTGGAAGAGCTAGTAGAGTCGGCCCCGCGCTGGTACCGGAAACCGAGGGGACCTCAGAAAGGCGGGAGCGTCCTGCTCACCTTTGACGTAGGCTTTTGCCACCCTACCCCACGTTAACCCCTCTCCTGCCAGCGCTGCACCGGGTGAAAAGGAAAGGGGCAGCTACCTGTCCAGCGCCCTACCTGCCAGCCAACAGACATTGAGACCCGGGGTCGTGCGTCCCCGAGAGGACAACTCGGATCCCCCTCTTTTCCTGGTTCCTCCTCGCTTTCCACTCTTCCACGGAAAACTATTCTCCAGCTAGATGTGTACACACCCCAGTACAGCCGAAAAGTGACTCTGCAGAACCCGGATCCCTAATCACTTTTCCACATGCTCTTGCGGCCCGGGCGGCGCGCGACAAGGCGCGAGCCCGGAGCGCCCGCGCCGCAGGAGGGGGGTTGACTGCAGGAGACACCGCCCCATTCCCAGGCAGGAGGGTCTAGGACCAAGTCCCCAGCCGAGCTGTCCTTCTAGACGGCGCCTACCACTTTAAGAAAAATTAAGAAGGAGGTGGGGTGCGACCAGGGGCGGCGAGGAGCGGGGTTCCCTCCCTCCGTCTGCTCTACGCGTCTCCCTCGCTGCGTCTGACTCTCCGTCTCTCCTCTCCTTCTTTTCCTCTGTTTTTCTTTTCTCTGGACACAAAAGTTGGGTTGTGAATTTTCCGAGGTCGCCGCCGCCTCGCCCCCACCCCCCGCCTCTGATCTGCCTAACTATAATTAAAGTACGTTTTTTGTGGCATTAATAAAGAGTTATTTGTCCGCCGTTTCCACGGTCTTCACAAAGAGGACTTTCATAGGGGCGGCCGCTCGGGCCGCGAGTCCAATTTATACAAAAATGTTGTATTTTTAGCCCTGGGCTCTGTTTAGATGGCGCTCGGTGGAAACGGAGAGCCCTTGGAGGTCCCCCCGTAAAATCTGATAAATGACTCCGAAAAAATAACGCTGGGATTCAGAGGGCTCCCGTTAACCCCTTCGGCGCTCGACACGCACTCCGCCGTTCCCTGCCCCCTCGGGATTTAGGGCCCCAGGCGGTGGAATGGGAGGCGCAACTTCCCCCCTCCCGATCTCTATACAGGTTGGACGCCACCCCCCGGGGTTCTGTGTAAGATTCAGAGAAAAGGTCAGGGGGACTTTGGGGGTGTCTGGGGGGGAGGCAGAGAAAGGTCAGGAAACCGAGGGAGGGGTCGGTGACAGACGCGGATTCCACAGATTGACTCTGAAGGGGCTGGAGACGCCGCTCCGGCGAGTTATTT